GGGCAAAGCAGCCCCTCCCACAGCCTGGCCTGACAGGGCTGCCCAGGCTGCTGCACAGGGAGCATGGAGAGCAGGTGAGCAGGTGGGCTGTTGTAGTGCATCTAAAAATCTTGGTATCTCCCAAGGGTAAAACTCACCTCTGTTTTGTGTAATGTTAATTCCTACCTGAGAACCTTCTTTCCCTTCCCCCTTCCCATTGGCTGTGACCTCCCTGTATCCCCCGCTCACCCCTGTCCCCTGGTAGAAGAGATAAGACCCAGGGCATTTTGGTCTCTTTCTTGCCCCGGATGGATGACATACAATAAACTCAGGATTACTCCAGCAAGTTTGGGCCTCCTGTGTCTAGATACTGTGAGTCCGTATTGTATCCACTCCAGGACCCCCTCTGCCACCTGTGTCCTGAGACTAGTGGGGCTCTCACCAAGGGGGGGGTGGGACAGAGGGATCCCCCCGAGAGGATTCCAGCAGTGGCCTGGTTTCCCTTTGCCAGGATGGTGCTCCCTTCTCCTTGAGAAGCATTGAGGATGGTTTTCCCCAGGACTTTCAGGAGGGTTTCCTCTGTAAAAGGGACAGAGTCCCCAGGGGCCCCAGGCTGGTCCTGTCGGGGCCCAACCAGGGATGTTGCACTGGGCCTGCAAAGAGGGTGGAGAGAGACCAGAACCAGGCCAGAGCTCCCCAAGCCCCTCTGCAGCTTTGGCCATGTCCATTGACATTCTGCTCCAATGGCCTTACCCGACCCACTTGCAGTGCCAGTTCCCTAAGGCAGAAGGGGATCCCAGCACACCATGGAATGGTGATCTCTGCTTCCTTCTAGATTGGAATTGTGATATGGAGTGTCTGGAATCCCTGGCACATGATGGTTTCAGATCCCTGGAAAATGCTGGAGGCAAGTTCTCAATGTCCCTTTTGGTTCAGAATAATAAGTGTCAAGGTGGCAAGAGATCACTCATGTGCCATTTCCCTTAAGAGTCTGAAGGCTGAAGGCTGCCCTGCTGCTGCTTTCACTGTATGCAGGGCTGTTTCCCAGCCTGGCCTGGCTGCTGCTTCTCCCCAACCACTGCAGGGAGGCATTTGGCATCAGCTGACAGTGGGCCAGCCACAGCAGGCCTTGGGCCACCAACAGCGTGCTCTTGGCTACCAATAACACTTGTTGCCTATGGGTAACAACCAGAGGCAGTTTTCCTACTGTTTTCCCTTCACTAGGAAGGGCTGAACATTCTGCCCATGCCCTGGTCCCATCCTTTGCTCTTTTGATTTTCATACTGCTTCTGATAGATACTTGAATATCTTCAAAACCTTTGTAACTTGGCATGTTTTACCCCACCTACTAGGCAAAAATAAATAAATAAATAAAAAATTCTTCCATTTAGATTTCATTTTTACTGTGGTTGGGCCACTCAGATTTGGAGCAATTCATTTTCCATTTCCCTTTTCCTTCCTATCTACAAAAAGTTCATCTGTACATGCAAATCAACAGAATTACTGAGATTCACCTCAAAGCCCAGAGGAGAATCTAGCACAAAATTTTCTCCCTGTGTGCTGCCCAGCAAGAAACATTCAGAGGAAAATACTGTGGCAGCTGAGGCTCGTGGAGCTCCCAGAATCCTGAGCCTGCAGAGGAGGCAAACACAGCCTGGCAGTGGCTGAGGGGACTTCTCCTCACAGACTCCTCTGCAAGTGTGTCCCTTCAGGAGGGGAAAGCTTTTAAACCTTTGCCTTACCTTCCTCCTGTGCTAGAATGTAAGGCTTCTCCTTACATTTACAGAGAAAATACTGAGCTACAAACAATTCTCCATTCCTCACCGAAGCTACTCAGGTGCTCGACTTCAACAGCAAAACCAAATGTGGTCAGAAGTTTCCCATCAAAGCCCATTTGCAGACAAACCTCACCATATGTCAGCAAATATTTATTAGCACCAGTGCATGCAAGAAATAGCTCCTTTTTTGTCCCAGAGAGAATATTGGAACCATTTGTTCTTGACAGGACTCCTTGGACAGCCCCCAGAGCCGCCTCCTCACCACGCCTTGCCTGGGCAGTTCTTGCAGCCTGGTAGCACCACCTGACTTTGCCACCCTGTCTAGACCTTGGGCACGGCTGGTGCCACAATCCCCTCTGGTGCCACGGTCCCCTCTGGTGCCACAATCCCCTCTGGTGCCACGGTCCCCTCTGGTGCTCTGGTCCCCTCCTGGCTCGTGGCGTGTCCCTGCTGCTGGAGGAGCCCTGCTCGTGCTGCTGCGTTCAACCAGGCCGCGGTGCTACTCCCCAGGCAAAGAGACTAAAGTCACTGCTTTGGGCAGCTCATTGGAAAGAATTTAAACTTCCTCATCTGTATCACAGACCTCTTAAAACCCACATAGCAACAGCATAAAGTCACCTCATCTACAGAGGTGAGGAGGCCTGAGTGAGCAGAAGGTCAGCTTTCAAGCACACTGGGTTTTTAATTTAGGTGAATCACTCAGTCGTTCACAAGCCTTACTTGTCAAACCGGAATGTGCCATGCTCTTGTCTTGCTCGTGTTAGAGAGGAGCCAGGGAGAAATTAGTTAAGAAACCAGAAACACTGGGGGCGCTCAGGCTTCGCTGACAAACGGAGCAGGGTGGCACCTGCCCGCTTTGCCCACATCCCTTTTCCTGCCGGACGAAGGCGGACGCGGCTCCGCTGGGGGCGAGCCGGGCGCTCCGTGCGCGGCGCTGGAGCTCCCGGCGGCCCCGCCCGGCTCGCCCCGCCCCGCCGAGGGCCGGGCCCGAGCGCTGGGCCGGCCGGGCGCTCAGGATGCTCGGGCAGCACCGCGGGCCGGCCGGGCGCTCAGGATGCTCGGGCAGCACCGCGGGCCGGCCGGGCGCGATGGAGCCGCCTGAGGGCTGGGACCCCTACGGGCGGCCGGCCCGGCGCACGCAGTGGCTGGTCAGCGCCCTCGCCTACCACTACGGGCTGGACCGAGGCGTGGAGAACGAGATCGTCGTGCTGGCCACCGGTCTGGACCAGTACCTGCAGGAGATCTTCCATCACCTGGACTGCGCCGGGGCGGGCCGCATCCCCGGCGAGGACTTCCGCACGCTGTGCCAGGTGCTGGGGCTGGAGGAGGCGGCGGAGCCCGAGGAGTGCGCGGGGCTATGGGACGGGCTCTCGGCCGAGCTCACCTTCCGCCAGTTCCACGCGCGGCTCTGCGGCCACTTCAGCACCCGCGCGGGGCCGCGGCTGCCGCTGGGCCGGGAGAGCGAACACATTGAGACCCAGATCCGCCTGCGCAGCCCCCGCCGCCGCCGCCGCCGCCGCCGCGCCGAGCCCGGAGCCGCGGGCAGCGCCGAGCGGCCGCCGCCCGGGCCCTGCTCCCGAGAGTGCTACGAGGAGATCGTGGCGCTGGAGCAGGCCGAGGACCGCATCGCCAAGCTGGAGGAGGAGAACGGCAGCCTGCGGGAGCTGGTGGAGGACATGCGGGCCGCCCTGCAGAGCAGCGATGCGCGGTGCCTGGCGCTGCAGGTGAGTCCGGGGCGGCTTGGGATGGCCCCGAGTGCTTCAGGCGAGATGCTGCCCTGGGAAAGTCAGTGTTTATAACCCCTGCACCTCCAGACTCAGACCAAAGTTGCTCGTTCATCCTGGGCATTAACGTTTTTGAAGAGTTTAGTTACAAGGGGGGCTTTAAGGAGAAATGTATGGCACCGGTGTGCCATTAAATGTACTTGTGACGAGCACGGTCAAAAGTGTGGGGGAGTTCAGCTTAACAAACCCACGCGTAAAATGCTGCTGCTTCTGCTGCACTTGCAGTCGGGATGTGCTGATACCATATGCTGGATATGCACCAGGATGCACTGCAGGGTTCTTCCTGAAGAAAGAACTTCTGGATTCTTAGCTGCACTAGCACATGCAGTGCCTCAGTCATACGTGCCTCAGAAATATTAGAAGCATGTTTTGTTCAGAGTGTGATCACAAGAGTTCAGAGCTGGAACCAGTTCTGTGGGCAGGCTGATGAATAGTCTGGGGCTCCTCTGCAGAGGCCCATTAATTCCTGGGCTGGTTTCTGCTAGTTCTGCTCTACTGGCTTGAGTGAAACATATATACACTTAACAGCAGTTCAATTACTCTGGCACGAAAAGTGTGGAACAGGCTGTGAAGGGCAGCATGGACCAATTGCTCTGGCTCGCCTGACCAGGTCTGATTTAATACTAACACAGCACTCACAGAACTCTGCTCCACCTGTGACACTTCCACCTGCAGTAGATGACTGTTCTTCTTCACAGTGTCCAGCAAGGCAGGTCAAGTTTAGGTCAGGTTTACCAGTTTCATCTAAAAAAGGGAAAAAGAAATCAGCAGCAAACGGGAAGTCACCAGCCAGAGGTCCCAGGAAGAATCAAAATGACAGAAGAGAGCTCTGGAACATCCCCAGCTACTCCCTGCTCTCTTCTTCTGAACACAACTTCATTGAAAGTATCTTTTTCAGCACAGGACTGAGTACTGACATAGTAATGACATTAAAGCTATACAGAAAGTCGTGCAATAATATAATAGTGAGTAGTTTGAAAATTAAACTTAGAGCTAGGTATTAACAACTACTTTCCAGAGATTGTTTCTTTATGTATTTGGTGAAGGTCAAGTAGGTTTAGTTGCTGATCAAAGCACAATCCAGCCACTCTCAGTCTTAATTAAAACATCAATTTCCCCCTGCTTTGTGCTCCTGGTATCTACAGGTGGGACTGCGGAAGAGCCACGCCAGCCATAAAGAAGAAGGATCCTGCTTCATAGGGAGTAAGAGACCATTAACACAGAACCACTCCCAGACTGAGTGCCTCCAAAGTGTCCTGAAGGAAATGGAGCTCATCCGGAGCTCCAGGGATGGGCAGATTGAAGAAGCCATCAGGTTCAATCAGGAGCTGGAGAAGGAGCTGAAGAGCTCTCAGGAAGCTCTGGTCAGCCTGGAAGATTGCAACCGTAACCTGAAGAGAGAGCAGGCAGAGATGAGGAGGAAGGTGGAAGAAGCCAGACACGCTGTCCTGAACAGTCTTGGCAAAGTGAAGGAGCTGGAAGTGAGAGCTAATGAGGTGCCACATCTGCAGATACACATTCAGCAGCTGGAATCACAACTGCAGCACTACAGGTAGGTTGGAGTCTGTCAAAAAGTGCCTATAAAATCCAAGTGTTGGGACACAAGTGAGTTTGAGAATCACTGGTTGTGGCTTATTAAATGTCTCCAAAACACCTTGTAAAATCTAGCCAGAGGGAAATTAGAAGCTGCTTATCCATTTTCTTGGTAGGGGTCTGTAGGAGATCTGGGAGCCTTCCAGACCAAAGTAAGGGTACTAATCTACAGAGAGCTGAAGTTACTCCTAAGACACACAACAAGAGAACTCAACGTGCTAATGCTTCAAGAAAGCCCCAAGCCAAATTCCTGATGGTCCTTCAGAAACCATTTCCAATGTTCTCATTTTTTTCACTGCATTTCCTGGTTGTTAGGTCCCATCCCAAGCCAGCTGTAATCAGATGGCTGACACTCCATTTCATAAAAAAGCACTTCAGCATGTCATAGGAACTGGGGAAAAGTACACAAGGACAACTTCTGGCCAGTGGTTTTAAACTTGCTGTGACTTCATTGCTTCTTCACTGACAGGTAATAGAAGAGAGAAGCTGAAACATTCCTAAATCCACAAAATAATATAGTGGGAATCTTAAACAAAAAACATTTCCCAACTAAACCTCACTTTTACAATAACATAAACAAATCTTTCCAGAAGTCAGAAAATTGGTCATGTATTTAACAGTCCACTGCTTTTGTTGCTTTTTATCGCAGACAAAACTTGGACTCACTGATGGTTATTGAGTGTTAGGCATTTCTGCACAGGTTTTAGAATGACCTATGGAATAAAATCTACTTTCTATTTTCACTGACCCAAAGCAAAACCATTATTAATAGATACATTTTTACTTACACTACTAAATCTGGTATTTTAATAAATTGCATCTTCTGAAGTCCTTGCCTCTTCCTAAACTCACACTTCCTCTGTTTGCTTATAAGAAGAATTCATAGTGAGTTATTTGTGGCATCATAGCTATTGTACTGTTTTATAAAGTGAGGAAATTCTAAAAATAACCATTTTACCCAGTGTCTAAGTATTGTGTATGTTAATACTTGCATGGCTGCAGAAGGCCGAAGAAAATAAAAGCATTTATTTAAACATCTGTAGGATTTAAAAAAACTCTGCGAGGGCACGTAATATGAGATTCAAGATGAGTGTCAGGGGTCTCTGGATGAATGATACAACTCCTGGTGCTAAAAGGGATCACAAAACTTGTCAGGTCTGTCACGTTCTCCTTGGCATAAGCACCAAAGATTTAAGATGAGTTCTTGTCCTGTGGAATTGCTTTTCCGAAGTACGATGAAGGATAAAAAAGATACCTTGAAACAGGTTAAAGGCAATAAGCAGTGTCCACTGGCCTTGCAGAGCAGGAACTTTATGGGTTACATCAAAACAAAGAGTGTGAGTTTAGAAATGTAAATTATATGTTCCTTGTAAGATTACCTTCATTTGTAATACTTAGGTTTAAATTGCATGCTAATCTCAAGTGGGTGTCAAGCTCAGGAATGGTGCTGGACTGACCATTTGGGAACTACACCCCTTTTTTAGCCCTGTGGCACATTTAGCCAAGGCCCAGGCCAGCTTCCACCCTTTGATATTCTCTGTTGGCCATAAAGCACCTCCCCATCCATGTCACAGAGCTCTTGGTGTCAAGAGTTTAACTTAGAGATGCATGATAATAATGGTGACTTGCACACCTGTGGGCATACTCCATAACACATGGGATCCCACCACCCCTCATGTTCCCAGAGCGTCACAGAGGTGCCCAAACTGGCAGAAAATGGTGAATGAGCAGTGCAGAGCTGTGTGGTAAGGTGGGGAAAGGGTTCAGCAGCAGCTCTGCCCCACACAGCCCTGGCTGTCCCAGCTGGTCCCACTCCCTCTGCTTGCTCACACTGGTGCTCAGGCAGCTGTTTGTCACCACTCCAGTGAGCAGTTTCCTCCTCTGCCAGGTGCCACACAGAGTTTGTGAGCAGGTCTGGATTTGGCAAGAACTAATGCTACAAGGTGGTGGTGGAGAGGAATGAGGGGAACTTGGGTGTTCTGCAGAAAGCACTGACAATTGCAGATATGTCTCCTGATAATTCACCTTCACTAGCTAGGTGAGCCACAGGTTTCCTCCACCTAAAGTCAAGTTTCTTCCAGAGAGGATCATATTCAAGCATGAGTCCAATCTATGAGCTTTACACACTGCTCCTTCTTTATAGTTTCCTATTTATAAAGGAAATTATTTCTTCTTTTAGGTTAGGATTTTAAAAGCTCTTTTAGCATCTGCATCCTTCTTCTAGACCTTCCTCTGATACCTGCTTGCTATCATTTAGTTCTGGAATCCCTATCATGACCATAAGTTATAATCCCTAATGCAGGAAACAACAGTTTCCATTTAGTCAAGAAAGGGTTTAAGGATCTGCAAGTGATTAAACCTTGTCCTAAATTGGAGTGTGTCATTATAATCACCTATTCCTGATTTAATAGTGCAGATTCATATTCCTGACAAAGTGTATGACTTAAACACGAACTTCTTCTGTGTGCACAGCTTCCCCTGCCAGGGTTTGAAATGTCCCTGTCACATCATTAGCTTCCTAAACCTTCCTAGCTGACCAAATAGTTCATAGTTCTTTTCTTCAGGTGCCCATCCTAATATCTACTGTGATGAACGTGTCAAGTTTCTGTCTGGACTGTCAGCTTTTATTGTTTAATCCCTGTCACGTCAGTAAGTCAGTTCAGACACTTAAATAGTAAAATTTTAATCAGTTCCTTACTGAAAGTTCCATTCATTTCAAAGGAAAAAGACATGACAAGAAATTGTATACTTATCATTGGTATTATAGAAAACCTGTGTAATTCCCAGTGCCTGATTACAGGAGAGCTTAGGAGGTTGGGTAAGTGCCATTTTTATGCAGTGCCCAGGGAGTTATTCCCAGAGGACAAATCATTAACAGCTATTCCCTAAACTCCCTTTTTTTTCCCCCACTAAGTTTTGCTCCAGCACTAGGTGACACCACCCATGTATTCTAATATAATCCTATGATTTCTAAGTATTGTTTATAAAAATACACATTAAAATGTTACTACAGTAAAAATTTCACATTTGCTGCTTCTTTTATCCATTAAGCCATTTGCCCTGTCAGAAAAGGAAATTGGACTGGTTTGACATGGATTGTTCTTGCCAAATACGAGTTGACTCTGTTTTCTATACTACATTGGAGGTAGCTTAGAAATTGACCACTTTATAAATTGTAATATTCTTTTTCTCTCTCCATATTCTTTTTCGCCTTAATAGCACTGGAGGGGATAGAACAATTTAACAACCATGTTTTTGATCCCAATGTAACAAATAAAAAGAAAGGTCATTTAGAATTGAAATCAACTTCATAATAGAGATGTTCACAGAGGGTTTATGTTGCTGCATCAGTCAGCAGCACAGTAATTACATAGGTCAGTGAAGGAGGTCATAAAATACCAAAAATTCTTCCCATATGCATGGTCTGTCTCCCAAATTACTTAATTATCCATCAGCATATCTATGTGCTAATGAGTAGGAATCCTTTTGGCATGGAATGCAGAGGTTTGTTTCCTCCCATTCTCCCGTAGATATGAAGACTGAGGCCTCTAGCATAATTTTCTCAATTTGTTTATATTATCAGTGTCAATTTGTCTAAAATGTTATGCTTTAGGTCATCTTATCCTGGGAGTAGTTCCATTTTTTTTCTTTCAGGAGACAGTGCCCTGATCTTTTCAGTAATCTCTCAGGTTATCATTCAGTCTGCAAAATACAACAAGATGGACCAAACAGGTTGAAATCAAAAATCCAAGAACAGGAGAGAAATATGGAAATATTCCTAGCTGATACAGAATCAGCTCCATTAAGTGAAGAAACAAAAGCCCTAGAAAGGAAACACTAATACACAGTAGAAGGTGTCTGTAGTAGATTATTTCCTGTCAGGTTGATAATGGTTTCTATTTAGGCACCCTAGAAATGTTCTTCTATTTTAAAAATTAGACAATAAAGAAAATCTGGACAATTTTTGCTTGATTACTGTCATCAATACCAGCTCCCTGTTGTTGTGAGGTGAGGGGCATCTTGGCAATTTGTTCCAGGTGGCACAAAATTTGAGAGGAGGCTGTGGGATTGCATGTGCTAGACAGATCTGCAGGTGATAAAGACATCCTTGGACAGGAGCAGGGACTGATGGCACTCAGGGAACTGAGCTCAGAGAGTGAAATGAAATGTTAAATTTGCACAGCCTCATCTGTAAAAACACTCAGATTCTTCTGGATGAACTGATGTCATCTCATTTTATTTTCTAACTTTGCCTGGAGCTGATACTGTTTTCTACTAAAGGGTGTAAGAAGTTTTGTATTACAGAGAAGTCTGCCAAAAACCACATGGCTTCAAGTTCTGGAAGAAGTTAGCTGCAGCAGGTGAATATATTCCATCATATGAAGTAGACTACTTGTGGGTCTCTAGTCATAGAAGACTCAGAAGCTAAGTAAGGAAATCAGATTACTCTCATTGGGAACCCTTTGAAGGAGCATTTTGATTTCACAAGAAGGGATAATGGAAGGTATTGTTATTTATGATAGAGAGAACCGTACAGAGCAATTTAAATAGATTAATTTAGCAGTATAGAAAATGTATAGCATCTCTTTCTGTGGAAGGGCTGCTTTTATTTCAAATGCAAGAGTATTTCAAAGCTAATAATAATAATAATAATAATAATAATAATAATA